GGGGGGGGGGGGGGGGGGGGGGGGAGGGACTTGTGCCTGCGGCTGGGAGTAAGGCGAGCGGCGCTGCCCTCTGCCCACCCCCGTCTGCTGAGACAGAAGCGGGGTCCGGAGCTTCTCCCTTGTCAGAGCAGCAGTTACGTTGCTGGGATGGAAGCAGCCAGCCAGCAGCTGAGTCGCCGGGAGGTTCAGTTCAGTCCTTGGGGCAAAGAGGAGAGCGCGAGCCCGGAGCAAAGGACAGTGTCTCCTTCCCCGGCAGTGGAACGCTGCCCTCTGCCCACCCCCGTCTGCTGAGACAGAAGCGGGGTCCGGAGCTTCTCCCTTGTCAGAGCAGCAGTTACGTTGCTGGGATGGAAGCAGCCAGCCAGCAGCTGAGTCGCCGGGAGGTTCAGTTCAGTCCTTGGGGCAAAGAGGAGAGCGCGAGCCCGGAGCAAAGGACAGTGTCTCCTTCCCCGGCAGTGGAAAGAATGCGCCTCTGTGCAACTGAACTGGCACTTGGTGGTTGGGCAGCTGTAGCGAGCTCACAAGGAACAAACTGTTTCTCGCTCAGTGTCTCATCATAGTTACCTGCACCTGCCCTCACCTCCTTTCCAGGGGACGTTTCCTGGCATGTGCCAAACACAAAAGGAGATGAGGGTTCTAAACTTATACATTCGGAGTCCTTGTCTGTACTGGAGAAATTTACTAACACAAATAGCACTTGCTCCTCCTCAATTGATTGAAATACATCTCTGTCCAAACACAAATGCTTCAATTGGTTATCAGGGCAGCTCATCATTGAGTTACCCTTGTAATTTGTAAAGGTAAAACTCTGATCTCCTCTCAATCAACTTGAGTGCTCCTGTGGTCACCTTCCACTGACACAATCAAGGGCTGTCAGAGTTGACCATACACAGTCTGTCAACCTGACTGCTCCCTCTGCTGGCAAACATCCTTAGTTCACCGCTGAGTTGCCTTTCTACTCCTTGACATGCGGTCTTTAGAACCCCTCCCTAGAAATGTCTCTGCTATAGGCCTCCCTTTTCTTGATACCCCTGCTCTGTTTTGCAGGTCTGGATCTAGTTATGGTGCAATAAGTGAAGCTGCGTTCTCTACCTCCTAATATATTTGTACCTCCCCCCCAGTACAACCTCAAGCTCTGTAACTCCTTAGCAGGTGATCACTCATAGTCTGCCAGCTACAAATTGAGGTCTAACAAATGATAGGTAGGTTGTCAAATTTAGACTATTGACCAGCAAGCTGCAGATTGATCATCAGTTGGGGTTGCTGCAAGAGATGAGGAACTTTACTCTTCACCGCCTTTTGTCAGATTTGGAGAACAAAAACTGGTAACTAAATAGCGGAGTAATAAATAAGAATAAGGACAGACCAGTTTGATGAATAATCTGGATTGCTTGGTAAACTGGTCTTATATGAATAGCACGTCTATTAATACAGTCAGATGTAACATCATGTAGTAGAAACAAAGAAGATAGAGCACATTTATGGGATAGGGGATTATACTGCAGAAAGCATTGATTCTGGAAAGGACTTAGGCATCGTGGTGGGCAAAACAATCAGTCTTGACTTCCCACAGTATTATGCTTTGGTTAAGGGGACTGACATGATCATTGGAAGCAGGGAAGATTGAGTAGAAGGAGGTTAGTAATACCTTTATAAACAGCATTAGTGAGAGAATTCCTGGAATATTATACACAGTGCTGGTGAAAAAATGGAAAGGGTTTAGAAAAGAGCTATGAGAATGATTAAAAGTCTGGAAAACATGCTTTACAATGAGAGTTGTAAGAAGTTCAATCCTGTTTAGCTTAACCAAGAGAAAAGTTAAGTAATGATTTGATCATGATTTGCGAATATCTTCCTGGAGAGAAGTCTTGTCATTATAGATGAAAAATTTGATTGCTGTGAAATAATATGCAAATATTCAGTGTGTGCAATATAGCTTGATCAGTATGTTGCTTCCTGCAAATATGAGTCCTGTGCATTGCCAC